TCCTTTGGTATTCCCACGTCTGCCATCAGAGGAAGGCTCCAGGTGGCTGTTTCTCTGGGAAAGCAGTGATAAAAACTCCATGGGTGTTTTCCTGCCCTGCCTCAAGCTGGAGATGGTGCCTCAAACTGTCAGTTGGTGATGCCCCAGGGGAGAAAATCCGTTCAACCACACGTGATCCATGAGCTGGGGACCTGTGGCCAAGGTCCAGGCTGGATCCTCTCCCGTGATGGAGGCATGGAGAGACTGGAGCGCTGGATTTGGGTTCTTCGTGCTCCAGGGTAGAACAGAGGGGAGGAGGAAGGATTTCTAAAGCCAGAGCCTTTCGTGGCCTCCACAGAAATAAATGATGGGAAAAGAATGGGAAAGAAACATGGAACCCTGCACTCTCTCAGGTGATCCCAAGGAACCCTGCTCCCTCGGGTGATCCCAAGGAACCCTGCTCTCTCTCAGCTGATCCCATGGAACCCTGCTCCCTCAGGTGATCCCATGGAACCCTACTCTCTCTCAGCTGATCCCATGGAACCCTGCTCTCTTTGAGGTGATCCCATGGAACCCTGCTCTCTCTGAGGTGATCCCATGGAACCCTGCTCCCTCGGGTGATCCCAAGGAACCCTGCACTCTCTCAGGTGATCCCATGGAACCCTGCTCTCTCTCAAGTGATTCCATAATCTTCCTGGGAGATATGAAAGGGATGTGTAGGCCAACCATTGTCCTGTCTCCTTCTCAACTGGCATCCAATGGTCAAGGCTTAACATACCACCCAGGAAGAATCCAAGGATCAGAGGTGTGTGGCCCACCCCTGTTTGGGCACAGGCAGTAGGAAATACTCGGGGGTTTTGGCCATTTTTCCACAAAACATGGTGAAACCACTGTAAACTTTCCTTTGGGACCATGCTGGGGCTGGCATCCCCCATCCATGACCATCCATGAACATCCAGATCCAGGCTCCTGGTTTTATTGCCCCCGAGGGTGGAGGGGCACTGAACAGGTCACGGCCCCAAGGCTGCCTGAGCTCAAGGAATATTTGGGCAACACTCTCAGGGACAGGGTGGGATTGCTGGGATGTCCTGGGCAGGGCCAGGAGTCGGACTGGATGGTCCTTATGGGTCCCTTGCAGCTCAGGATATTCCATGATTCTACAATTCCATGACCTGTGTTTCTCCCGGCGGTTCCTGGGGTGTTACGGTGTAATCTCCACTCCACAGTCTCATGGTCAGGATTGAAGGAGCAAAGACCTGGACACCTGCTGGAAGGTTAAAACTCCTCAGTCCTGCCTTTTTTGCCTCCAGACACTCCTGTTTAGGCCCATCAAGGCACATTTGCAGCATAGTTAAGTCCCTGCACTGCAAGGAACCTTCCTGTTGTCATCTCCGTGGTTACAGCCCTAAAGACAGGCCTGGATGCTGCAATTAAATCCTCCTCCCGTCTCTCATCCCTGTTTTCCTCTTAATGTGTGTCCTCATGTCCACCACACAAATTCCCCAGAAAACCCCTGAGCTGTGCTAAAAACGGGGGATGAAGGATTTCCCCCCCTCCCTCTTTCCCCCCAGATGTATTTATCGCCAGGGCAAC